GGGGCGGGAGGAGGGGCCGCCCTGGACGCGCGAGAGGAGAAGGTGGTGTACTCGCGGTCCCAACTGTCGCTGGCCGACAGCACCAAGGCGCTGGGCGACGCCTTCAAGCTGTTCATGCCCCGCAGCACGGAGTTCATGAGCTCGGACGCGGAGCTCTGGAGCTTCCTCTGCAGCCTCAAGCACCAGTTCTCCCCGCACATCCTGCGCAGCAAGGACGTCTACGGCTACTCGTCCTGCCGGGCCCTGGTGCCAGAGCCCCCGCCGCCCGCCGCCGCCCGCCGCCGCCGTGATCTCGCGGGAGCGCCGCGCTCTCGCCGCCCCACTTCCGGCGACGGTCTCGCGAGAACTCAGCGCGGGGCTGTCACTGCCCGCGCCGCTTCCTTCAGTGAGGCCTAGTGGGGGCGACACGGGAGAAGGGATGGAGGGGACACCCAAGAGTTCCGGTGCTTTTTCTGTTTGATGTGAGCGTACTGTTGCACGGGGTGGGCGTGTGGCTCTCGGGAGAACGCTGCCCTCTCGTGGCCGGGACCCCACACCACTACCGCAGCGCCCTCGCTTGAGCGGGCGGGCTTTGGCCTGCGAAGCGGGGGCGGGTTGGGGAGCCGGCTTCCGGGCCACCTGGGGGGCGAGGGGAAACCCCGCAGACGGGGAGCGAGGTCGCGGGAAGCCGCGCAGTCTTGGGCTTGAGAATTTGTAATCAAAATTCCAAGACAGCCGGGTGCGGTGGTGCGGCCTGTAATCCCAGCTCCCTGGGAAGCTGAGGCAGGAGGATCACAGGTTCCAGCCCAGCCTGGGCCACCTAGCAAGGTAGTGAGAACTTGTCTAAAAGAAAAAAAAAAAAGGAGAAAGAAGGAAGGACTGGGGATGTAGCTCAATCCCTCGTACCTCAAAACAAACAAATAAAAACCCCAAAGTTTGAGAAAGTTGTACTGTGGAACACCATGCACTACCCCATCCTCACAGTAACCCTGTGAATAAAACACTGTTTTCAGAGAGGAAATCGAAGATTAATCATTAAATTAGATTAAAACTAACTGCAAAATTTACTAACAACCCCCCTCCCCCCGTTCTTCGTCGTCAGGTAGGAGAATGAATCAGTGTCGTGTTTTCATTCAGAATAAATCAGCACTGTCAGGGGACTGAACCCTCTAAGTTAGGATGCTCTATGCCTACTTTTTTTTACTGTTTTTGTTTAAGGTTTCCGTCATTTTTCTGTGCTCCTCTTTTTTTTAATCTATGTCTTCTTTTGATATGCCCAGCAATTCCTTCATTATGGTTGCCATTTCTTTTTTTGCCTGAGCAGTTATTTCTGACCTCATTTCCTCTATAGCTTGATGTAGTTGGTTCTTTACTTCAGTTGCTATCATTTGAGAAATTTCAGGTGTGTGAAATTCTTCCATGTTCTTCCATGTTGATGCTTCCTGGACTTGTTCTGGGTGGGGTGTTTGGCTGAGATTGCATTTTGCTGCTTCTTTTTGTCATTTTCAAATCTCCCTAGGTTTCCAGAGATTTAGGTTTATTCCTGAGGAGGCAGCAGGGGGCCGAGCCAGAGGACCCAAGCACCGAGAGAGCTCACCCAGGCCTCCTGAGTCCCAGGCGCCTCCGTGGTGGTGGCAGGTGGTGGGGCCAGAGGATCCGGGACCCAGGCAGCTCACTGAGGCTTCCCAAGACCAAGGCCCCTCTCTCAACATTAAGTTTTTATGTGGACATAATTTTCACTTCTCTTGGGTAAATACTTGAGTGGCATTGCAGGGTCATATGGTAAATATATGCCTAATTTTTATGGCTACGCCCCAAGTGTGTCCTTAAATTGGCTGTCATTTTACATTCCTACAAACAATCCGTGAAGACTCAACTTTTTTCATGTCCTCAGCAGCAATGTTGGCTCCTAGTCATTTTAATGCATATGAAGTGGAATCTCACTGTGGTTCCAGTGTGCATGTTCCTAGTGATTACTGCTGTTGTACTTCGTGGGGCTCTGGAGACCACCCTCAGGCTTGATGATTTGCGTAAGGACTCACAAGACTCAGCGTAAAGTCATACTCGAGTTTATTATGGTTAAAGGACTCATCAAAATCAACAGAGGGAAAACATGCACACCAGGCAAAGTCTGGAGGAAACCAGGCGTTAGCTTCCAAGAGCTCTCTCCCAGCAGAATCACACAAGATGAGCTTAATTCCTCCAACAAATGGAATGTAGAATGCTGTCTGCTATGAAATCTCATTCAGGACTCGGTTCCCAAAGTTTTTTTGGGGGGCCAGTTATAGAGGCACACTCCACCTATGCGTACCAACCAGATTCCTAGAGGAAAGCAGGTGTTCAGCAAAAAACAGTACTGCCCAAACATTTTAGACATAGTGATCCATTCATGCAGGGCATGGTGAGAATACTCCCCAAATGTAATTTTCAGCTGAGGGCCAACCTTGCAAACAGAACTTTCTGAGAATAGCAGTTTCTTATTTATTTATTTATTTTACTTATTATTATTTTTTTGTCTTTTTGCAGTTCAGGCTGGCCTTGAGCTCACTTTGTAGCCTAGGCTGGTCTTGAACTTGCAACGATCCTCCTGCCTCAGCCTCCCAAGTGCTGGGATTACAGGTGTGTACCACCATGACCAGCAAGAGTAGCAGTTTCAGACTTGCTATGTTAACTGTTTTCTGCATATGCAATTTTTATGTGTTTATTAAAAAGCATTCATATATTTTCCTTTGGTAAAGTATATATTAAGATCTTTTGTACTTTTAAAATTGGGTTGTGTTATTATGAATTGTAGGATTCTTTATATATGGTACTTTGGACACAGTACTTTTGGATACAAGTTGTTTATCAGATAAATGATGTAAAAATTTTTTTGGTATGTTCTTGTTCTCTTTCTGGTACTGCGGATTGAACTTGGGGTCTTCACTCTGTAGGTCCCCAGCCTGTTAAACATTTTCTTTTATACTGATCTTGATATTGCAACTTGGCTGAACTTTTTTGTCTTGTTCTTCCTCCCACAGATTTCTTAAGAGCTTCTACACAAACGACTGTGTCATTTACAGACAAAGATATTTGTATTTTTTCTTTCCAATCTGGATGCCTTTAATTTTGTTTTTAAATGCCACTTGAGAATTTCCTGTGGGGTGTTACAGTCATTATACCGGTGGGTGGATGGGGAGGAATCTTTCAGCTCTAAGCAGCATGATGGTTGTTGCTTTTGACAGTGTCCTTTAACAAGTTTCAAAATTTTCTTTTCCTAATTTGTTGAAAATTGTTATCATGAATGAGTGATGGAAATGATAACACAGCTGCAAGGGAAGAAGGAATGTTTCTACATTGTGGGTATGTAAACTAGTACAACTAGTACAGAAATCAGAAAGGCAAAGAACTAAAACTAGATATTCCATTTGACTGAGCTATTTCACTTGTAGGTACCTTCCTGAAAGAGTAAGTCACATATTACAGTGATACATATTCATGTTTATAGCAGCACAATTCATAATAGCTAAATCTTGGCAGCCTGTGTGCCCATCGACTGATAAGTGGATGAAGAAAATGTAGTATTTATCTACAATGGAGTACTACTCTGCCATAAAGAAGGGTGAATTTGAGTGATTTTTAGGAAAATGAATGTGCCTTAAGAGCACAGTGTTAAGTAAAATAAATCAGATATACAAGTTTAAATATATCACATGGTTTATCTTATGTGAGAAACCCAAATTATAAATAAAGAGCAAAATAAGAGATAGATAATAGTAAGTAGGGAGATCTTTGTCAAATGGGAAGGGGAACAAGAGATGGAGGGCGGGGTAGGTAGGAAGGGGAAAGGGATTAAGGGCTTTTTTGGTACCAGGAACTGAACTCAGGACCTTGTGCTTGCCAGGCAGGCGTTGTGCCACTGAGCTACATCCCCAGCCCAGGGAAAGAGATTTAAAAAAATTAATTGAAAAACAGAGCTTATACAAATAGGAAAGAAAGTAAGAGCTGGAGAGAGCAGGGAGGGGTGGGAGTGGACGGGGACAAAAAGTGTGTTGTGTACACGACACTTTCCCCACCACAAATGTAATTGTCAGGCACTGCAAACGGTGCTAATAAAAAAGTGAATTTTTGATTGTTGTAAAGGCTTTTTCGGAACGTTGAGATAAGTTGTTTTTATTTTATCTTTTCGGAACGTTGAGATAAGTTGTTTTTATTTTATTTTGTTGATGTGTATTGTATTAATTGATTTCCAGTGTTAAAACCACCTATGTTCTTGGGATAATCCTCTCTTGGTCACGGTGTCTAGTCCTTGTGTGTCGCTGGCTTGTTTTTGGCTGTTTTAAAAGGATTTGTACTTATGTTCATGGAAAATATAGGTCTATAGTTTTCATGTGACACTTTTCTCCTCTAGCCTTGGAATCAGTAATGTTGCCTCCTGGAGTGCACTGAAAGTGTTCCTCCGTTTTTCTAAGAGATTATGTGTAAGGCTGGTATTTATTTCGTCCTTAGATATTTGTTGGAATTCAGCAAGTCCCCCGTTTCTCTTTCTTGCCACTTGTAATGGATCAGCCGTGACCCTGGGGGGTCGTTGGGCTCCTCCGGCCCTCTCTGGGTTAGGTCCCCCGAGGGCCCTGGCCCGCCTGGCGGAGCACATGCCTCGCTGTCGTAGGTGGTGGACTGTGGAACGAATGGGGTTGAAGAGAGGTCCGTCTGGTCACCCGTTCAGACTGCGATGGCCAGCCAGAAGAACGGAACTGTGGGCTGGGCCAACACCCTTTGTTCAGCTGCTCCGTAGTCCGTCTGTCCAGCCACACCGGCTCCCCGCTCCTTCCCGCTCACAGCAGCCCTGCGCCGGTCATCTCCTTTTCTACCAAACTACGCGGTCGAGGCCACGTGCCCGCGACGACTTTGGTGATGGAAGTCACTCGCACCGGCCAGTGCCGAGCTCGGCTGCAGACGTTGTCTACCTCGGGGCTCCGTCCGTGGTGGAGCTCTGCTGACACAGAGCTCACCGCTTCCCGGGCCTTCCTCCTCCACAGCCGACACAAGGCGCCGCCTCGCGCACTGCGCATTTCCCCACTGATGGAGCCTGCCGTGAAGCGGCTCTGAGCAGGGTTTAATAGTAACCTGTCGGCCCTCCGTGTTCACTTGCGAGCTGTCCCAGGCTTGGGCCCTTGCTCTCTGATGGGCAGCGGACTCACAGTGACCTCTGCGAGTCACTGGACCCCGCTCAGGCCTGTATTGGCCTGTGAAGTTGGGGTGCCTCAAAGGACAGGACAAGGTCACAGCTGCGGATGTTTGGCTCCAACCCGCATTCGCGAAGGGGGGAATGCAGCTGCAGGCCTCTCACTTCCGCAGTGAAGGCCTTCCTGGAGATAACATAGTTCTTCTAAATTAACGTAAGTATTACTTGGAGAATTCTATAAAGGGTTTCCCGAGTTCTGCCCAGATTCCTGTATTTTCGTTAGTATCTCCCTCCTTTATTTGAAAACCTAGTAAATACGGGCCACTCAGGGAAGTCCTGGTGTCAGTCCAGGGAACCTCGAAGTCTGTAATAGGGTTGAACCCTCCTGGAGCCCTGAAATTATTTCAGTTGTCTCATTTACTTAACCCTTCCCCGTCCACTCACTTGGAGATTGCGGGCCTGATCAGTCTGCAATAACTGAGGGTTATTAACCCGATACCCCACAAGGTCTCATTTCTATCTCCTGGTGGGCTAGACTTCTATTGGTGACAGTGAAGTTTAGCAATCCTAAATCGTTAAAGCTGCTAAAAGGACAGTGTTTTGCTAAAATGCTTTGTACCCAGAGGAATAACTACAAATTTTCAACAGGGATCTAGAAAGTTTAGGTCTTCAAATGGTGTACAACAATGGACTTCACAGTCTCAGGACTTCACAGAACTCAGGACCTTATGCTTGCAGTTGGGTATGTTATAAGGAACAGAGTAAAAATTGCATAGCTCTACTCCCAAATTTACTAAAATATTTTGTGGAAAATATTTAACAAAAATGGCCACATTAAGATGTAGTTTTTTTCCCCACGGGGTGAGGGGATCAAACCCAGGACCTTGTACATGATAGGCGATTGTACTATTGTTATAGGCTGCTGAGTTAGACAGAAATATTATAGGCAGGCAGACAGGGCCAGGCCCTGGAAGGAGCCAACGTGGAAGACAAGATACCTTGCAAATGGAGACGTGCTTGCTGCGGGCCAGACCTCAAGACAAAAGACTAAACAAATGCACCCACACACCTCCCTAGGGATGGAGCTCAGGGACTGATGTTCTAAATAGGTAGCAGTCACCTTGAAAAAGCCAGGAAGAGTCACTTTCCCAGCCCCCTGCAGGAAGGGCCCCTCTTCCGTATCATGTGCGCTTGCTGCGTGCCTCGCTTCCCTGTTTGATCCCAGTTTAATCAATGTTACCTGAACAATTATACTTGCAATCTTATTGGCTGACCGTAACCTTGTCCCACCTCACACCCACCTTGTGATTCCTCATCCTCGCTCGCCCCTTGGACCCGCCTCACCTTGTGGCTTGCTCTATGAAAGTCCTTGGAAAACACGGGTACCCTGGGCCACCCACTTGGGCCCGCTGCTGTCCCTGTCTCGGACAGAAGCTTTCTTTCCTTTAATAAGTTCTGCTCTTCACCTCTGTTTTTGCTAAGATTCATTCTTCAATCGAACTCATCCCAGATATTGTTCAGGTTGGGAATGTCTTTCTCCTGTATCACTACTGAGGTACTCTCATGCCACTAAATGTAAAATTTTAAGATAAAATACTGCTTTCAGTGGATCAAAGTTTAGGATCTCCAGCCTATCCATTCATTCTTTTTGACCTTTGCTCCGGAGGACAAGTTTGCAAACAAAGACCAGCGCGAGCCTGAATCCAGCCCTATTGCTCATTAATCAGCTCTGGGACCTACTTGCTTGCTAGCTCGCTTGCTCCTTCTTTTTTGGTTGCTCTCTTGAACCCAGAGCCACACCCTCAGCCTTCTTCAATACAGAGCTTCACTAAGTTGCTAGTTGCCCACACTGGGGTCAAAACTCTGATCCTCCTGCTTCAGCCTCCCAGAGTGCTGGGATTACAAGTGTGTGCCACCATGCCTGGCAGTTATGTGATCTTTTTTTGGGGGGTACCAGGAATCGAACTCAGGACCTTATGCTTGCCAGGCAAGTGCTGTGCCACAGCTGAGCTGTATCCCTGGCCCAGTTGTGCGATCCTGAGTTCACCTCCCAGCTCTAGTGTTCTGATTTGCACTATGAGCATGCTAGACTTGTCAGGTTTTTTCTGTGATTAGTTCACTGTCAGTATTTTATACTAAACCCTAGATTTGCCTGTTAGGAGAGGTGAGGACTTTCTGAACAGAACCCAAAACTACATAAGAAATAACATCAAGAATCCACACGTGAGATCACATCAAATTAAAAAACTTCTGCATAGCAAAGAAAATAACCAACAGAGTGAAGAGGCAGCTTTTTTTTCCCCAAACTTTTCTTCACACAGAGGACTAACATCCATATATAAAGAATTTAAAAAAATTAGATTCCCCCAAAATAAAAGACCCAATCAAAATATTGGGCGACTGAAATGAATACACACTTCACAGGAGGAGGAGCATAAATGGCCTATAAGGACGTGAAGAAATGTTCTCAGTGCCACTGGCTGTCAGAGAATGGCAGACATCAAACATCAAATAACGAATGTTAGCTTCAGGTAAAAGGAAGCCTCCGACACTGCTGGTGGGAATATAAACTTGAACAACCACTGTGGAAATTAGTGTGGAGATTCCTCACAGAAAAACAAGTAAGAAATTCCATTTGACCCAGCTGTTTCCCTTCTAGGTATTTTCCTGGAAGAGTTAAAGACCTCATACTACACTGATACATGCACACCCATGTTAATAGCAGCACAATTCAGAATAGCCTGATCTTGGAAACAGTCTGTATGTTCATCAACAGATGAATGGATAAAAAATGTGATATTTATCCTTATGGAATATTACTCTGCTATAAGAAGGAAGAATTTGAACCACTTGTACAGAAATGTATGCACCTTGAAACAATGCTAAGTGAAATCAGACCCACAAGCTTAAATGTCATATGGTCATTCTCTCACACAAGTATAAATAGAGCCGGGCATGGTGGTGCACGCCTGTAATCCCAGTACTTGCAAGGCTGAGGCAGGAGGATCATTGTGAGTTCGAGACTAGCCTGGGCAATAAAGTGAGCTAAAGGCCAGCCTGAAGTGCATAGTGAGTCTCAAAAAGACAAAAAAAAAAAAAAAAAAAAAAAAAAAAAAAAGTTTTTGTAAATGTTTGGCAAGCTCTCAGATGTTTTCTAAAGGAAGAAAAGGAGAGAGAGAAAGAGAGAAAGAAAGAGAGAAAGAAAGAAAGAAAAAAAAAAAAAAAAAAAAAAAAAAAAAAAGAAAAAGAAGAAGAAGTATAAATAAAGAACAAAGGCCAGGGATATAGCTCAGCAGCACAAAAACCTGCATGGCAAGCACAAGGTCCTGAGTTCAGTTCCCGGTACCCCCCCAAATAAATAAAGAACAAAATAAAGAAATGAAGTACAGTGGAGTACTACTCTACCAAAAAGAAGATAAATTTGATTCATTTGTGGGAAAATGATG